TTCCAACCCTAACTGCTTGTGCCCACTAACCCACATTGCTCTGTGAACTGACAGTGCAGCGAAATTTGAGTGTCTGTGTGATCTGTAAATCGCTGCACCCCCTGCTGTTTCATTTTTGTCTTATTGTTGTCTATGAGGGAAAATGTCTGACGAAACTGACACAGCTGCAGGGAAGGTGGAGGTCGTGATTAAGGTTGAAGGGGAACCCTCAGCCACAACACCACCTCCCCCTCCTCTGACCCTTGCGCAGCGGCGCAAGAGAGAGATCCAGGAAAAGCTGCGAGAGCAACAGGCGCTGCTCGCAGAAGCCGAGAGATAGGAGGCTGATGAACTAGAAGCTGCAACAGATGCTTCCAGAAAAGAACATCTGCTGCAGCAGGCCCAGAGGACCGTTCCAGATACTAGAGTGGCCCAGTGTACAAGGGACCTGGCTGAGCTGGTCCTCCTGCAGGACAAGCTGACCGCCGGCCACTTAAACTGGGATGAGAGGATCCAGAGGCTGGAGACCAGAGTGGCGGATCTGGGAACTCAGCAGTCAAAGATCCCGGATGCTATCCAGAATCTGACTGCTCAGTTAACAACAGCCAATGTCATCAGTCCCCTGGTCCCTGTGGTCCCCTCTCTGAAGCCCAAAAAGCCTTCTCAGTCCCCTTCTCCACCTCCTTCTCCACCTCCTAAGTCTCCTCATTCTTCGCACAGATCTTCTCCCTCTGTCTCCTCCCAGGCCAAAGCCACACCTCCTCCCACCTTTGCTGCTGTTGTTGCTGGGGACCACAGAGGTCCCAAGATTCCGGCCCCCAACAAATTCAAGGGGGATGACCCCAAGATTGATGTTGGGGACTGGACAGCTGGAACCCGGGCCTATCTGAAGGGGTTCCCGGAGCAGCAAAAGGTGGCCACTGTTGTGGGTCTGTTGGAGGGGCCTGCCCAGAAATGGGCTACCTCTACAGCAAGTGCCCAGAATCAGACTTTGGAGGACTGGGCCCTGGCACTGGGGGCTGACAAACTTTTGCAGGCCTTGGAAGATCGGTTTGCAGCCAAAGAAAGAGTCCGCAAAGCTGCTGATAAGATAGTACACCTGGGCCAGCAGCGTTACAGCGGCAGTCTGCAGGCCCTGTTTGCTGAATTTGAACAGCTGACTTCCACCCCTGTTTTGGTGATGTCTGCAGATGATCTGTTGACTAACTTTTGCGGGGCTGTGCCTGAAAAGTTTTGTGTTGCGTTGTACAGCGCCGGTCACAAAGACTGGAGATCATTTGGACGTGCAGCACTGGACATGGAAGCCAAGCTTCATGTCCAGGCCCCCTCCAGTGACAGGAGGAGAGGCGCCTTCCCTCGCGGTGGTAGAAAGGGAAAGGCGGCCTTTGCATATGCGAGGTCTGGGTCAGCCTCTGACACAGGTTCCCAGCCTGGTACACCGCCAGCTGGGACTGTTTCAGCTGCTGTTCCAGATGTTGCAGTAGTGGTCCAGCAGCTGCAGGCTGCGCTGGGGGCCTTCCAAAAGGTCGGATCTGCCTCCAGCACAACCTCCAGCAGCAAGGGGAAGAGCCAAGGACGTCGCTCTTCAACCCCTGCCCGGCGCCCTAATTTGCCACGTGACGCCTACTTCCCAGCAGACCCTCTGAACCCCAACACTCTCCCATGGCATGATCTGAAGATCCAGGAGGGAGTGTGGAGGAAGAGGAAGGAGAGAGGTGTCTGCTTGAGGTGTGAGGGACAACACTTCCTGAAGGACTGTCCCTACATGCCAAGCCCAACTCAGTCAAAAAACTGAAGCTGAACCTGGAGACAGCAGTTCCCTTCAGTGCTGCAACTGCATCTACAGCTGCAGCAGCTTCAGTTGAGACTTCTTCCTTCCCATCCAGTGTGGGAGCTGCGCGGGCAGCATCCTTTACCTATGAGGATCCTGACCCCGATCAGGAACCGGACCAGTCTGAGTGTCAGGCTCTTGCTGCTTTTTTCTTTCATTTGAAAGAACAAAAGCAAAGCAGAACAAGTCTGATTTCATCCTGCTTCGGCCCCTGATCAACCATCGCAGGATCAAAGGGCTATTAGACTGTGGAGCCACCCGCAACTTCATGTCTCCCAGTGCAGTCCAAAAACTGCATCTGGGCATGAAAGTGGTGCAGCTCCAGCAACCGCTGCAGGTCCGCATCGGGGACTCCGCTGTTCTGACCATCAGGGAGAAGGTCAGGGGCATCCCTGTTACCTTCGACAGCGCCGGAGAAGTCAGACATAGTCTGAATTTCTACATTTTCCCTGACCTCCCCTTTGACCTTGTGTTCTCTATGCAGTGGCTGAGAGCAGTCAACCCAAGGATCGACTGGCAGATCCCCAAGGTTGAACTGCCAAACAGCAAGGGGGTATATCAGCCTTGTATGCTCGCAGCTGATTACCACCCTCAGACATCTTGCTTCTGCCTGAGAGCGAGAGAGTTCTATACTCTCTCTCGCCAATATGATCATGAGCGTCTGTTCATCGCCCTGGTCANGATCCTTTCCATGATGTGGTACGCGGGGTCAATTTGGACTCCCCCCAAGGCCACATCGACCCAGCTTAGGAGAAAGGCAGCAGCCTTTTTGTGGACAGCGAAGCACAACACGGAGCATTTCATAACCAAGGTGGCATGGAAAACGGTAACTAGAGCCAAGGGTCAAGGTGGCCTAGGCATCCTAGACCCAAGTCTACAGCTGAAGGCTTTGCAAACAAAATGGCTGGTCAAGCTAATCTCACAGCCCAGGTTATCTTGGACTTCATTAGTATTGGAAAGGATCAGGCAGATAGCAATGTACAAAACACCCGGCAATATGACGGGTCTGTTCTGGATCATGTGTAGCAACTGGGCTAAAGTGGGCTATAGGAAGGAGAACAGGGATGCACAAGGTGGGAGGGCTAGAAATCCCTCTTATTGGCTACAACTAATACAGCTGTGGAAGGAGGTATTCCCAGCAAGGGTCAGAGAACCTACTACGAGGGAGGAGGTATTAAGACAACCGATTTTCTGCAATAATTGCATTAGGGACGGCAACGGAAAACCTCTAACACTCACGAGCAAGGATTCGAGATGGGGCAGATGGGTGGAGCATGGGATATGGCAGATCAAACATATTTGGGATGATGAGAACAAGCGGTGGAAAACAGCAGGTGAACTGAGGAGAGCATTGAAGGGGTGCCACAATCTTCAGGACAATCTGAGAACAGTCACAGACTCCATACACCCAACCTGGGTACTATTGCTGAGAGAGGGAAAGCAATGGCGAGAGGGGGATTGGGCCACATGGGAGGAGGATCCGGAACCTAATCAGGTCTTCAGGGTGTGGGGCACAGACAAAGATAGGAATGAATGGCTAGTAGCTGATAAATACGACATAAAACAGCCGAGCAGTACCACTTCCCAACTGGACAAGTCCTCCAAAGCACCATTGTATATTCTCAAACAAGGGTTACAGAAGGTAAGAGTGATAGAGATGKATGATTATACAGTATACAGTTCAACAGTACCAATCGAGGATCTAGAGGTCGATCCTGGAGAATGGGCCTGGAACATTAGAGATGGACAGTCAAGAGTAGCAAGAAGAATCAACATTCTCCAATATACCACAAAAATGGGGTATAGACTGAGGAACAGATCCAGGTCCATGGGACACACTCTGACCAAACGATGGGAGAAGAAAGTAGGGATCCCCAGGAGCCTAATGCCTGACATACCGTGGTCTAGCATCCTTTCTATCAGACWGGGGCAGGTTAGAAGTATGCAATGGCTAATAGCGCACGTGGCACTACCAGTGAATGTGTGGCTCAACGAAAGAAGAAGCCTCAATCAGAGAAATCAGGAAGCGGAGCTTTGCAGGGTGTGCCAAGAAGGGCTTCCGRAAACTCTGGTGCATTGTCTACTGGAATGTAAGGAGGCAGAAGAAATGTGGGAACAAGTTAGGAGGATCTGGAAACAGGTAGTGACGATAGCCTTTCCAGAGTCAAAGATTACCATTCTTTTGGGGGTCGGGGTTCCCAAAGGATGGCAACCCTACCAGAGGCTCATCTTTCAACTGCTGAGACAATATGGACTGTGGAACCATTTGGAAAAGGAGATGTCAGGCAACTATGGAAGGAACATTAACTCATAGGGAGGAAGCTAGAGAGCTGCTCCTCAATATGGTGGAATCACATCTCAACGCACAGTGGAAAAGGGTGAGACAGCAAGCTAGACAACACCCTGGGCAAGAGGAGGAAATAATCAAAAAATTTAAACAGAATACTTTGGGTCAGGGGAAAGTAGCAGAGTCCAGAGGCGTACAGCTTTGCTTCAAATGGAGAGAGGAGGGACGAGGATATCAGGGAACAGAAAGGGAGGAGGGCTAAAGGAAAGTGAGGAAAATTAACTTCTCCTTTGAGTGTCATCCCTAAGTAGCCTCAGAAAACATTAAAATATCAGGTTTGAGTTCACCAGTAAGACCTCCCTTGAGTCATATGGAGGGTAAGATGCAGCAGAACGATTGAGGAGGCTGTAAGGGAACGGGAGAGAGTTTGGGTAGAGACTAAGGATTCGATACAGGCAGAAATTCTATGCAGATGGAAGAAGACCAAGAGAAAAGGGCAGACGACGAAGAGCAGCGGAAGAAGGCTAGAGACAAGTTCACCAAGTCATGGTTGGCAGGAGGGAGGGCTGCTGAGATGAGGTATGATTCCATATGGAGGAAGGAGTGGCACAACTCTGTCTCAAGAAGAAATCTGGAACAGCAAAGCATAGTATCAGGGAGCGGAACCCTCAGTTCGGATTCTAACTGAGTCAGTTCTGCTTTCGGGTCTCTGCTCTTGATCTACAGCGGAGGGGAACAGGATGCAAGTTGGTAACGCAGGTGAACAAGGGAAGCAAAAGGGTCAAAGCAAAGAGTCCCGGAGCAATGAGGAAGGCGATCCTTGAATGGGAATGTTATATCGGGGCGCAGTTAAGAAGGACGAGGGTTTAGGGTTCAGGTTTTAACGGTTGCTTAGGCAAAAAGAAAAAACAAGTGGATCGGGAAGGGCTCGGGTGGATGATCACAATAGAGGGACTCTTTCTGGGATTTAGCGATGAAATCTGGCAGACCCATTTGTCTGGTCTGAGAGGAAAGAGAGAGGTTGGGCAAGCTGGCAGTCAATCCTCCACTGAGGTGGAGCAATCAATGCTGTCCAGGGGTCCTTCGGCCAGACGGAAGGAAGCGTGGGTGAAAGCCGGTGGAATAGGAACCGGACTGACGCTCCCCAGAATAGAAGGAGCCAGGACCGTAAGGACCTGCCCGTTTGAAAAAAAGAGAAAAAAAAAGGAACCGGACTGTAGCTCCCCAGAATGGCAGGAGCCAGAACCGAGAGGTTCTGTTTTTTTATTAAAAAAAAAAAGAAAAAAAAGCCCGGTCATGATAGCCGTACTTGGGGCAACTTGCAGTCCAGCTGCAGGGGTGATAATGACTGGGTGTTCTATTCGGGTGAAGACAGTAGGCTGCAAACCTCCCTGGTCAGGCATGCCCGGGCCAGGCAGACAGGGGAGAGATGCCCAGGAAAAGCGGGTGGCTAAAAAAAAGGCAAGAACTTACAAAAGAAGTTCAAAAAAAAAAAAAAAAAAAAAAAGACTTAAGACCTGGACTGCACTTCTCGAATGAGCAGGCAGAATCTGGCCTTATCGTCTGGTTTGGTGATGGGTCATGCAGGGGGGGGTCGGGAGGCCTAAGTTTACTACAAGTAGGTTTTAAAGGGGTTCAAAGGGATACTTCTCAAATCTCATTTTTCAAATTTTCAATGATTTTTGTCAAATTTAGTTCGAAAGTAATAAGCAAT